TTATACATACATATAAACACAGACACACACACACATATATATATATATGTCTTCTTATATTATACCTTATGTATATATATATTTATATATATATATAGTCAGAAGGTGTGTTATTTGCGTGTATGTGACTTTGTATGTTGAAAACCGTATTTTTCAAATTGATGTATTATTATAACTCAGTGCATGGTGGTTGTGGACAGTGGGCCCCGTTCAATAAAATGTGAAAGCCAAGCTCCTGCTGACACCAGCCAAAGCATTTTGGTGAGCTATATGCTCAGTATGCACCCTCTACTGGGTGCAGTGTATATGTCCTACCATGGGTGACCCACTCGTCATTGGTGTAGGGACTTTCGGTGTATCGAGTGTGTGTGATTGGTTCTGGTTTGGGTTCAGGTATTCGGATTGCGATGGTGGTTAGTGTGGGTGCTGTCAGTCGTGGTGATATACACGGCATGCTTATCTATAGTGTGCTACAACTAAGGTGACATACATGAGTTAGCCTACTGGTACTTGGTTGTATACTACAACTAAAGTACCACACACAGTGCTAGTTGCTTATACTGTACTTCACCAATCCACAGCTACAATAACCTATACCCACAAACGAGTGAGAAACACCCAGCAGATGGAGGTGGTAACCATGACAACCGGCCATACCCCGCTGCGCTATCGCCGCCCTCCCTCGGGCGAACAAGCACAGGCGGTAGTAATCTCAGGTCTATTCAGACCATGGTAGTTACAGGCGAATCAACAACACGCACATACCCACCCAACAGCCCCACAAAGCAGTCTGGCAGCCCAAACACACCCACACACGCCAGAGCCTCGACTACAAGCAACACACCCACAGCCAAGCTACAACGCTCTACCAGCACACAAGGCAGGAGTGTAAGTGCAGATGTGGCACCCTCAGCCCCACTTATACGCTACTCTCGAACTATGGGGGGAACACAGACGCACTATGCAGACACGCCTTCGCTTGCCAGGACGGTGAGTGACGAGTCACCTGCAGGGGGGTTGGGAAAGTCACAGACATCAGTTGTTGTTACTAACGACTCAGTGCAATCGGATGCTATGGCCAATAAGGTGAGCGCATGCAGCGTGGTGTGCTTGGTGACGCTGCGGGTACTGCAGAAAAGCTTAGAGTGTGCGCAGCAGCGAACTTAGTGTGTGTATAGCAGTACTCTCTTAGTGTGTGTATCGCAGTATACTCTTTGTTTATTGAAGATGCTGTGTGTGTGTATAGCAGTAAGCTTAGTGTGTGTATAGCAGTACTCTCTTAGTGTGTGTATCGCAGTATACTCATTGTGTATTGGAGTATGCTGTGTGTGTGTGTAGCAGTAAGCGTTGTGTGTGTATAGCAGTGAACTTAGTGTCTGTACAACAGTATGCCTAGTGTATGTATAACAGCACGCTTAGTGTGTGTGTGTGTGTATTGCATTAAGCCTATAGTGTCTGAGTGTGCAGTGGTTATTGCTTATGTAGTCGTGCACTGTATATGATACTCGGGATGTATGCATGCGTCTGATAGCATACTAAGTGCCTGAGATGCTCAACACACCAGCCAATGACGCACATACAACCAACATCATGCTATGCCTATTAAAAGGCCTACTCTCTGCCCTCTTGCCTGATCCAACGGATCAACCCTCTTCTACTGTGCACAGACAAGTACTAGCTACCTTGTACAGACCCACACTAGCCACCCACTGTCGTCTCATACAACACATACACCGTTTCCAACGTACTAGTCTCTCTTATCAACACACACACACACATCCCATCCCCTCTCATCTCATCTCGGGGCACAGGTATCTAACGGAGCGTATGCGTCCAGAGAGCACTATAACAACGCACGCACACGCGCACAGTCGATCATTAGTGCCAATCCCGATGTGATCGTGTGCACACTCAGCGGTGCGAAGAAGAGTGGCGTGGTCTCAGCACACATCAGCTGGCTGCTCACCACGCACACCTCGTTGTATGGTACGTGCCACATCTCACATCTCTCGTAATTTGACTATGAGAGGTTGTTTGTGGTGGGAAGAGCTGGAGTTATTAATTATGTAGATATTCGTATGCGTGTGTCTGTGTCGCCTGCGTTGTTACACACTTGGGCGCACCATCTGGTGGGTGGTCACTGTCACTTGCAGACTGTTGTATGTTGCGTGGTTTTAGGGTTTTAGGTAGACGACCAACAGAACGGTCACAGTGGCATGGGCAAGTACTTCTGAGACCACGTGACAACTCAGGTGCCTCTGCTGCGACCTTGCCTAGTCGCACTGCTCACATATACGCCAACCCTAAACCCTAAACCCTAAACCCTAGATGTTTCTTTCAGCTAAGAACCGCTGGGATTTGGTTGTATCTTTTATGCGGTTCAGAGGACTTCGTAAATGTTTATATAATTTTTGTCTCAAGAAAACATCACCAGCGCAGTTGTGTATAGTGCACGCTGACGTCAATGCCGTTGTTGAGGCAGAAGCACCTACGAATGCACACCAAACAAACACACCATACGAACACACCAAACGAACACCTGGTGGTCACCCTGTGCACACACACAGTACACTCCTTTCTAACCATCAAGTGTTTATGTGCTCATGATACGCATGCACCTCACCACCAAACGAACACATGGTGGTCACCCCGTGCACACACAGAAGACTCCTTTCTAACCATCAAGTGTTTATGTGCTCATGCGTTCATGTGTGTCTACGCATACAGTACACTCCTTTCTAACCATCAAGTGTTTATGTGCTCATGCGTTCATGTGTATCTACGTATGCACACCAAACGAACACATGGTGGCCAACCCGTGTACACACACAGTACACTCCTTTCTAACCATCAAGTATTTATGTGCTCATGCGTTCATGTGTATCTACGCATACAGTGCACTCCCTTCTAACCATCAAGTGTTCATGTGCTCATACGTTCATGTGTATCTACGCATACAGTACACTCATTTCTAACCATCAAGTGTTTATGTGCTCATGCGTTCATGTGTATCTACGCATGCACACCAAACGAAAACATGGCTGTCACTCCGTGCATACACGCCTTTCTAACCATCATGTGTTCGTGTATTATGCTTATATATCTTGTATAGGAGGTGAACCTTTGAAGCCTTTGCGACGTAAATTAGTACTCATTTCTAATCATCATGTGTTCGTGTGTTACGCGTGTATGTCTTGTATAGGAGGTGGGACCTTTGAAATTCGACGCAAGTACAGTGACTTCACCTGGCTGCACAACTCAATGGAGGCCAATCACTTTGAACTTATGATACCAAGTATACCTGCTGAGGCGAGTGCCATGCAGAAGCAGGACGCTTACTTTGTCAACAAACGAGAGATAGGGCTGCAGATATTTGTGGACAGGTATGTATGTATGTATGTATGTATGTATGTATGTATGTATGTATGTATGTATGTATGCATATATGTTTGTTTGTATGTATGCATGTATGTATGTATGTAAGTATGTAAGTATGTATGTATGTATGCATGTATGTAGGTATGCATGCATGTATGTATGTATGTATGTATGTATGTATGTATGCGTGTATGCACGTATGTACGTATGTATGTATGTATGCATGAGTTACGGAACACGTATAAGCTGATCCAAGACAGGCTCTGTTTCTTTTGAGATGGTTTGTGTATGTGCGGGTTTGTTCTGGTGCAGTTTGTGTGATAGAAAGGGCTACCAC